ACACCTGAGGAAAGGGATGCAGGCTGGCACGGGAGGCCATGTGCTCCTGTGTGCTCCTGGGCTTCCCTCGCCCCACTCGGGCACCCTGTTCTCGGCAGTTCGTGTGGCAGTATGGGCAGGGCCCACTGACCTGGGGGTCACTGCCCGACTCAAAGGGAAGCCTTGATGCCCCCTAGGGCTCCCGGCTCCCGCTGGCTGTGTCCAGGCCTTAGGCAGAGCCTCTCTGCGGAGCCAAGGCTGAGCCCTTCCACCCCTGACTCCTCAGGAGAGGTTAGAAAAGGAGAAGAAGTTAACCAGTGACCTGGGACGCGCAGCTACCAAACTGCAGGAGCTTTTGAAGACCACCCAGGAACAGCTGACGAAGGAGAGAGAGACCGTGAAAAAGTTGCAGGAGCAGCTGGACAAAGCAGTAAGTGTCTTGGCTGGGGTCAGGTGCCCCTTGGCTCAGACCCACAGACTGGGTGCTGGGGACCCCAGGACTCGGGAAGCACAAATGGCTTGGGTTTTTTTTTTTTTTTTTTCAGGAGGTCCTGACAGACGGAGGTGTTGGTGGCCTAGCTCCCCCTCCCGCCCCACTCCTCTGGCCCCCACTGGGCCCTCCTGTTCGCAGTGCTGGTTCTCACGGGCCCGGCTGGCCTTGGGGTTCTCAGAGGGAGTGGGTGTGATAGGCACCCAGTTTTGAGGGACTGGAGACCAAAGGGGGTGGGGGTGGGGGCTGTGTTCCCTCCAGCACCAGATCCTAGCCTCACTCTACCCTTTTTTCACAGGAGGACGGTAGCAGCTCAAAAGAGGGTACCTCCGTCTGAGTCTCCTGAGGAAGAAGTTACTGTTCAACTTACCAAAATGCCTTACACATTCCTTATGAATAAACCAACCAACACAGCGTTATCCAGGCCCAACTTCAGTAGCTCTGAGAGAAGCCATTGGAGACAGCCGTCTCTTAGAAACACAGAGCTAGATCTTCCAGACCCCGTTTGTAAAACGAACCTTTGTCACATTCGATAAACACTATTCCCCAGGACCAGCCCTGGCCTACAGCCAGCAGACACCAAAGCCCTTATCAGGTGCGACAGCCCCCAGGCTGTGCACCGGGGAAGCCGGGACTCTGGGTATCTATGTGTCAATCAGTGCAATTGTTTGTGTTGTTGTTGGGGGGGGGGGGGGTCGGAGCGGCAGACCGGGCGGGCAGTGAGTCTCCAAGGCTGTGCAGCAGACTGGGGCGGGGGTGGGGGGCACAGCCCGGCCTGGCGGGACAGCAGCCCCTCACCCCCGGAAGAAGTTGCCAACCACCACTTGTGTGACCTCCTGGATATCAATGCCATTAAAACCAAGTGTCGCCTGGCTCTGCAATCTCTCCTGGTCTTCTGAGGCTTCAGAGTGGTGGGGTGGGCAGACAAGGGGGTAAGAGGGGAAAGCTCCTGCAAGGAAGCAAGCAGGCATGGGTCTTGGTTTCTGATCAGCAGCTGGAGTGGGGCTGTTGCTTTCTGCCTCCCCAAGACAGGAGGCTGGAGCTGGGGGCCAGACGTGCTGAGTGGGGCTGCGGGTGGCCTGGGAGCTTGTCTGGCACCCCCTGAATGAACAGGAGTCTGCGGACTGCGTCTGGAGAAGCAGCCGTTTCGTTGAGGGTGGCCTGCGCAGCCCACAGCTTGTCTTCCGGAGCAGATTATAGGAGAGAGCCATGACTTCCCAGATGAGCCTAGACTCCTGGCTTCAGGAAGGGGGCAGACAGCAGAGAAAGGCCAAGGTCCAGGGTGGCCAGTGTTGGAGGCAGGTATCGAGGGACAGGAGGACCCGGCCTGGAGAGGCAGGTGGGTCTCTAGAGGAACGGCCAGGCCAGTCCTCCGGGGGTCACAGTGGGGGAACCTCTGGGCACCTGGACACCAGCTTCTGGCCGGAGAAGGCAGGGGGCAGGAGCTGCTGGTGGGGTACTGGGAGTGTGGGCAGGTGAAAGGCACCCACTTTCCCATGGCCCCTCGCCAGCAGCCCACAGGGTCCCACGTCCTCTGTATAGTGGATTCCTGTGGGTTTCCTGCAGGAAACAGGCCAGGGCCATCCCATCCCCGTGCCACTGGGAAACCAGAGCCTGCATCTCGATCCTGACAAGCTCCTGCCCATCCAGTCTGGGACTGAGAAGCGTGCAGGGGAGGTGTCATCTGGAAGTGAGATTCCACAGGGAACGATTAGGCACGATACCTGGTGGAAAGGAATCATGCATAAGCTGGACCAGGCCCGACCATGGGGTGGAGGGGTGCAGGGAATCAGAACAGGCCTACCCACAGGCTTGGGCTGGGACTGGGCATCCAGCCTCTCCCAGGCCAGCAGAGGGAGTCCGAGTTTGCCTGGCAGCCGGCAGGGCGTGGCCTCTCCCAACCTCATGGTCACAGCTGCTCCCGGCCACAGTCCATCCCTGGGCTGGGAAAGGAGCGATCCGCTTTGGAAGCTCCCTGAGGTTAGCGGTACAGCAGTTCCAGCCAGAGGTCTGCAGGTGCCCTGGTGCTGATGGCCAAGAGCCTGGCTATTCTCAGCTTCCATGTCCCTTGGTCTGAAGCGAGTGTCGAGGCTGGCAGTTTAGGCTGGTTTCACATAAGCCACAGCCAGGGCCAGGGATGCTGCTTTCTTGGCCCACCCCAAGTACAGCTGGGAGGGTTCGAGCACAGCTAGTCTGAACCCTTGCCTTAACAGCACCTCCCAAAGTGTGCATACCTGTTTCAAGTTGGGGTAGGGAGCAGTAGCTCTGCAACAATGCAGAAGGCTACTATGGGGGTACTATCTGTTGGCTTTTTTTTTTTTTAAGTTTCTGGGACACACCCAGCGATACTCAAGGCTAATACTCAAGGCTAACGCCTCACTCTGCCCTCAGGGGAGCATAAGGGGTCCTGGGGTGGAACCTAGGTTAGCCACAGATTCAGGAGCTTTATAGGTCTCGGCATCCACCTGGAGTTCTGGGCCTGTGCCCCTGAAGGCTGTCTCCAGAGCAGGAAGCCCTGCCACGCCGCCACGCACAGGTTTCCCTTCACTAGCTCCCTCTGTCTGCAGGACATGGCACCGGGGGACGGATGAGCAGGGACCCTCCACAAATGCCTTCCCCATGAGTTTCCTGGAGCTTGCTGTCTCACGGGCCCCAAAGCCCCAGAGCACTAGCTTGTCTTCCTTCTGGCCCCATTTCCAACTCATCCCCAGCACTGAACAAGATTTCGCCTTTGTCCCAGATGTTAAAAATTAACCCTATAGGGTGCAATGGGAAAGATTTCGGGTCCCTAAGACCCAAGTATTCCCTGCTCTATTGCTGCCTCACTGGCCTGGCTACAGTCTTGGAAAATCCTCTCCCCACTGTTCTCCTGGGACTGGGCAGAGCTCCCCCAGCCAGCGATGGCTAGAGTTACCCCAGCTCAGCCTGCCTTGGAAAGAGATCCTGACTCCTGCGCATCCCTCTTTCCAGCCACCTGCAGCTGCTACCAGCTGGAGAGGCCCTGAGCAAGCTGGGTGTCCCTGTACACTCCCAGGCTCTGTTCAGAGTAACAAAAGAGTCAAGAAAGAGGCCCACTTCCAAGATGGGAGCAGTGTGGCAGGGCCATTCTGCACAAGAGCAAGCCTCAGCTGAGTCCAAGTCTATTGGTTCACTGTTTTCTAAGAGATTAGCACCACAAGCACTGCTTGAGCACTTCCAGGAGTGACTCCAGAGTACTGCTAAATGAGCCCCCCATGACCTATCACTAGACTGACCTTTAAGCACATTTTCATAATGTGCTAACACTTGTAAAAAACGTGAATATTTATTTGCAGAAAACAGAGCCTTGTCTGCCATTTTATTCTTTCCAGTACTAGCAGAGGTCTGAAAGACTAATTTGGAGAGGCAAAACTCAGAGGGTTGGTGAGTGTTCTGTATGGGGGAGGCCTGACCGCGCCCCCTCCGCAATGCACCCTGCAGATTCCATAAGGATCTGCTGGGCGAGGCCCCAGACACAAATGTAAGTTAAAAAAAAAATTAAATGAAACACTGCTTTCTCATTAGAATTAAGTGGGAATGCTTATTAGCAAAATTCTTTGGTTACGACCTCGGAAAAGAATTCAAAATTCCCTAGGTAAAGATAAGACATGAGAATTAGCATCCTCTAATTTCTGGAATAAAAATGGAACGCTGTGAGAGTTTTTATGTATTATACTGAAATCCTTCTCAGAGTAGAACATCCATCTCCTCTGTCCTTCCACAGGCTAAGTACTCCCCTCGGGTGCGCGCGCACGCACATGCACACACACACAACACATCACATGCAAAAACCACAGAAAATTTCTGTGGGTGAAATTCCTTGACCAAGATCTTGAGTACAGCTTGGTAGCCATAGAGTGCCGTTTGGGGCCTTGTTATACCAAGTCCCTAAAAGTGTGGCTTTACAGTAGAGAGAATAAGGAACTCCGTGTGAGAATGATAAACAGCTATGTAAACCAATAAGCAGTTTTCTAGACAGTTTAAAAAGCACTACTTTGACAAAGCAGGATAACCTTTTATGCACCCCCTCCTCCAAACATATCAGGGATTTTTTTTTAAGAAGTCCAATGCACTTGGGGCTGGCGCGATAGCATAGCGGGTAGGGCATTTGCCTTGCACGCAGCCGACCCGGGTTCAACCCCCAATATCCCATATGGTCCCGCAAGCACCGCCAGGAGTAATTCCTGAGTGCAGAGCCAGGAGTAACCCCTGTGTATCACCAGGTGTGACCCAAAATGTAAAAAAAAAAAAAAGTCCAATGCACTATCCATTGCACAACAGAGCCAAGCATGAGATTATTATTCTTTTTTTTTTTTAGCCTGGCATTTGGACAAACATTTGGAATAAGAAAAGAGGTTTTTTCTTATCTAAACTTGACACCAACTTTCTCATTCTGAGAGGAAGGAGCTGTAATCTCTCTTCAGAGCCCCAAACACCCAAACCTCAATGAGATACCTAACCCCATTTGAAAGTTCTGAATGTCCAATCCACAGGTAAATAATTACACAAGCGGTAAGTTAAAAATGCTTCCTTTATTACACAAAGCAAATACTGCTACTTCTAAGTTGAACTGTCTGTGCATCTCTATTCCAAGTGTGAAGCCTGTGATTTTAAGGACGAACACTTCCAAGTGTCATCAGGTACTAGCTTCCCCTGAGTGCACTCACCATGCCTGCTCCCCACGTCAGCTCACTAGGAAATGAAGCTCTCCCAGCTCCCAAAGTCAATGTACTTAATGTTTTTCCACACCTGATTATACCAGAAACAAAAAAGTTCTGAGGGAGCCACAATTACAGATATCACAGGTGTCCTAGCCGGTTAATATATAACGTAACATTTTCACTGACAAAGTACAATGGCTTTTTGAATCTGCACTATAATTAGTTGTCACAAGTATTGCACATTCTCCCAAGGACACACCATGGTTTCCAAGATGTGAGGTCACTCAGAACAAAATCTCCAACAAGCAGGTGGAAGGACAGAGGAGAGCCACTTGCTGAACCCCAACTATAAGCTTAATGGTGCTCTGCAAGGGCAGCGCTGATTTTAAGCATCCGTAATTCTGAGGCAGTCTCTATTACACATTTTGAATAGGATTAAAAAACCTGTCTCACTTAATCTCGCTGTAGTTAGTATTATTAGTGTGGTTATAGCTTGTGAAGAGAGTTAGTTTCCATTATTCAGTGGAGTCCCAGAGAATAAAAGAACATGGGCCAAATTTATAACTAGATTATGTCCAATTCCCTAAGTAAAATAAACAAAATAATAGCTGAAGTTAACAAAATTGTAAGAATTCTCTTCATAGGGCCTTGTACTGTTTTGTGAACTGCATTATTACATACCAAGAGCATTATAAAAATCTTGAGAAGCCAATTCATCAAAACAGGCATCTGGCCAGCAAGAATTTAATTTTACATCATTTTAACTTTAGGGTTTTGACTTTGTACGGCCATTTGCACATGTCTATAGAATATTTCATTTACTCTATAGAGGGCAGATAGCCTGCCCTCTGTGAGACCCTGGCCTAAGCATATCTGCTTTGCTTAATAGAGCAAGAGGATAACATTAAATATGGAAGCTTCTGGTTTGTGGCACTGAATGATGGTCTACACAGGGCTTCCTTCAAAAGCTACAATTAAGGATCCACCTAACTTTTCAGCAATACAAGCACGATTCAGGTCTTCTGGCCCATTGGCTTGACATTCGTGTTTTATGCCTGGAAAAAAAAAAGAACAATTCTATTTAGAATTACAGCAGTAATTTATTTCTCTAAGACATTAAACTTTTTAAATAATACCATTAAAATATGAATAGATAAGCTAAAACAAACAAACACTATAGTAAGTGGAATTATCTGTACTGTATTGGAATGAATTGATTTTCACAAATGTTGATAAAAGCAGACGTAAGAGCACACACACATTCTAGGTAAGTTCATTTGTATAACACATCAGCCAAAGCTATTTAATATCAGTAACAGCTGAGTTATTGCTTATCTTGTGAAGGAATAAGGAAGTAATATGACTGAAAGAGTATATGAGTGAGATTTCTGGGGTGCTCATCTCATTACATTAAGAAATAATCATGCTAAGTGAAATGAGTCAGAAAGAGAGGGACAGACATAGAATGACTGCACTCATTTATGGAATGTAAACACGAGACTAACACCCAAGGAGAGTAGAGATAGGGCCAGAAATATTGTTTCATACTTGGAAGCCTGTCTCATAAACTAGGGGAGAAGGTAGCTGGAATAAAGAAGGAATCACTGAGACAGTGATGGTTGGAGGAATCGTTCGGGATGGGAGATGTGTGCTGAAAGTAGATAAAGGGCCAAACATGATAGCTTCTCAGTATCTCTACTGCAAACCATAAAGCCCAAAAGCAGAGAGAAATTATTGGGCAAACTGTCTGCCTAGAGGCGGGGGGGGCGGGCTGGTATGGGTCAGGGGGATATTGGGGACACTGGTGGTGGAAAATGTGTGCACTAGTGGAGGGATGGATGTTCGATCATTTTATGACTGAAACTCAAACATGAAAGCTTAGTAACCACATCTCACAGTGATTCATTAAACAAAAAAAAAAGAATAGATAATGGTGTAAAAGTATTAATTCACGGTCACGGTCCTTCCGTTGTTCATCTATTTGCTGGAGTGAGTGGGCCCAGTAACGTCTCCATCGTGAAACTTGTTACTGTGTTTGGCATATTGAATACGTCATGGGTAGCTTGCCAGGCTTTGCCATGAGGATGAGATACTCTTGGTAGCTTGCCGGGCTCTCTGAGAGGGGCGGAGGAATTGAACCTGGCTGGGCCGGGCCGGTTGTGAGCAAGGCAAACGCCCTATCACTGAGCTATCGCTCCAACCCCAAAGCATTAATTAGGACAATAAAATCAAATAGAGGTGAAGAAGCAGTAACCCTTTAAAAAATAAAAATACTCAATAACCTCAGTTTGTGTAGTAACAAGTTCCAAAATAATATATGATACATATTTTGCTACTGATGCCTTAAAAATTCAAAATCAGGCCTAGTTTTTCTGTTTTTTAACAGAAATTTTCTGTTTTTTAAAAGACTATGAATTCGATATCTGACTACAACTGATTTATAAATGACATTACTTGTGCTCAGAAAACAACTAGCTCTCTGGTTAAGAAACCTAAATGTGTTACTGATTAGTTTCCCAGAAAAATAACATCACCACACTACAGAATGAGCTCAATTATGGAATTAAACATAGTCATTTCTCTGTAAACAACTAACTTGAAAAAAAAAAAAACTTTTGTTTCTAACTTCAGAAAAATTTCATACCACTTCTTATGCTGCTGAAAACACAGCAGAGCAGCTTCTGGAGCATTTAGACTAAAGGCAAATCCAAGGATGATTTCATTTGAAAAGGCAACAAGGTGACCACACTTGAATGTAGTTTAACACAAATTGTAACACTGCCATCAAAGTGTTAACAGTAACAGGTCAATCTTGTTTATTGAAAGGCAATTCTGTTTATTGAAAGGCAATGCAGAACAGGAAGGGTGCCAAAGTAATGAAACCACTGAGTCAGGTTAAATGAGTTACTAGTAGCAGGCCGCAGGGGTGAATGCACTTCGGGAAAGATGGCCGCCATCAAAGCAAACACACATGCAGCCTGACAAGGCTGAAACAAGGCAGCAGATGATTTCAGGAAAGAGGTCACAAATTCTGTTTTCCTGACTAAATGAAAACAAGTAGGCAAACTTGTTCCACTACAGGAATATAAAAATGAGTCACAATAAACAAACAAAACAAAACTCACACTGGGCCAAGCCCTTGTGATGTTGGCTAGCCCAGCTGCTTGGAACCAGTCACAGCAGGAAGGCACAGAACAGCTGTTAAGCTCACTCAGCTCAAGCAAGCCACACTGAGCCTCCCATTCTATAGCTGAGAGAATCGAGGCCCTCCCTCGGCGGTCACACAGCTGCGGACAAGGTAACACAGCAGGGAGGCAATAAGCTCAGTTCTAGCGCAGGCCTTTCGACACTTGCCCCATGCTCTTTCCATCATACCAACATTTCCTCCTGGTCAAGTCAACTCGTCAGGATCCCAATCCCCCAGTGGCAAGTCAAATATAAGTGGCCAGCTCAAGGAGGGGAGTCTCTTTCCCTTGGACACAGAGAAGTCAGTTACCTGAAATCACACCACTTCAAAGAAAAGTGACCGAGAAGAGTATCCTTACCACTTAATGAACAATTCCTCTTTGCAACCTCGTTTTGGTGACTATATTCCAAACAAGGGCAAGTTTATGATTTAGTATGAAGAGTGTAAGCTAATTAATGTCTCTTCCTGCTGTGTGAGAAATGCAGCTGCATCTGAAGCTAGTTTCAAACCAGCCTGAGGACTATGAGCTGTCAAGGAGCTTGTGTTGCATGCAGCTGACCTGGTTCAATCCCCTTCAGCACATGGTTTCCTAAACAGCACCAGCAGTGACTCCTGAGCACTGCCTGATATGACCCAATACTGCCCTCCTAATACTAATAGATTAAAATAGAAACAGCATGTATGAATGGTGTGTACACAATGCTGAGAAAATGGGATTATCAAACATGGCTTTTCACACCTCAAGGAACCAGTGCATGGCAGAAGGGTTCAGCCTTTTGTGTTTTTGTCAAAAAAGGTGGTGTTTCCTTTCTTTGTGGCTAAGGCTCTCTGAGGAAGTAAATAATGATAGAAATGAAAATAGCAAAAATAATAAATCATGTAGTCCACATTCCAGTGGCTCAATTTAACTCTAAATATTTACAAGGAAGTTTAGACCATACCTTGAAATTTCTTTTTGATTGCATCTTTGGAGCTTGCATAGATCATTTTACTTTTCAGAGGTGCTAGTTCTGGTGCCCTGGAGAAAGAGATGCCAAAAAATAAAAGGAAAGAAAAGTTAGAAAGCCCAATTTAACTCTTATGTTCACTGCAGCACTGTTCACAATAGCCAGAATCTAGAAGCAACCTGAGTGACCGAGAACAGATGAATGGATAAAGAAGTTATGGCACATCTACACAATGGAATACTACACAGCTGTTAGGAAAAATGAATTCATGAAATCTGCATATAAATAGACGGACGTGGAGAGTATCATGCTGAGTGAAATGAGTCAGGAAAGGGACAGATATAGAATGACTACATTCATTTGTAGTGTATAAAATATATATAGAAGACTAATATTCAAGGCCAGAGGAAATGGGTTAGGAGGACTGTAATAAGGTGGAAATGATCACGCGGGACAAGAACTGATTGTTAAAAGTAGGTAAGAGGATCTACACAGTAACCTTTCAGCATCTGTACTGCAAACCACAATGTTCACAATGGAGACGGGGGTGAGGGAGAGAGAGGGAGAAACAGACCGAGAGACAGAGACAATGAGAGAAGAAACGTGCCTGCCAAAGAGGCAGGCAGGGGGGATAAGGGGGTATGGGAGGGAACCTAGGGACATTGCTGCTGGGAGATGCACACCGGTGGAGGGATGAATGTTGGCACACTGTGACTGAAACCTAATTATGAACAGCTTAGTAAGGGTCTATCTCACAGTGATTCAAACTAAAAAAAATTTTTTGAAGAAATTAAACAAAGGACGAGTAGAAAATTCCAAAAATGAATTTTTAAAAAGAAGGCCCAATTTACATCACAAACATCTGCACTGGTGATGGGTGAGAGCAAGTCTCAGAATTCCTTACAAGTTTTCTAACTACTAACCATCCTATTTCACCATTTCCTTAAGTAACAGCTACAAAATGGGGGAAAGTTTTGAATAATTCAATTTGATCAAATGAAAAAAGATAAAGAATGCTTGTGGGGGAAAAAGAAAACAACACCTGTAAGATTATTACTGATTAAGAATCAGATCAATGAGGCAGAGTATAAGAACTAATACTGGATAACTCACTGTAAGGCTATTTTCCTTATTAGATTTTTCTTTTCATTATTTTTTTCATTTTTATCTAGAAAAGCCTGAGTTCTGAGTTCAGTGAAATAACCTCTAGCTTAATGTAAGATTTTTAATAACACTTTCTGGTTTGAAAATACACATCATTAATCATCAGGAAGATGCAGATCAAAACAACAATGAGATATCATTTCACACCACAGAGACTGGCCCACATCCATAAGAACAAAAGCAACCAAGTGTAACGGTCAGACAGGAATATTTCTCTGTAACAGTGACCTTGTATTTTCATAATTTTTAGTGCCTCCCTTTATGAATAAACTCTGGAAGCACAGCATATGCTTCGTAGCAATACTGAAAAATAATAACAACAACATAGAGAAAAATCTGGGGCAAAAGCGATAGCACAGCAGGTAGGGCATGCGGCCCACCCATGTTTGATCCCTGGCATCCCATATAGACCTCTGAGTACCACCAAGAGTAATTCCAGAGTGCAAAGCCAGGAGTAAGCCCTGAGCCAGGTGTCTCCCCGCCCCCCCCCCCTTCAATATATATGATCCTACTTATACTGTTTATCTATGAAGGCCTTGTTTCCCACCAGGCGACCAAACTTCCAGTCAGCCCTCTGAGCTATCTAAGGGAAAATGGGAGTGCACTCTGATTACTGTGCGCATGTAATGACTGCACTACCTGCCAGAGCCCAGGGCTTTCAGCACTGGAACTGTGGGCAGCAGCCTCAGTGTGGTCCTTCCACAGCCTACAGTCCACTGCTGAAACTGAGGGGTGCGGGGGGAAGGGCTCTGACTCCGGTATGTACTCCCCTTCATTCCAGGGATAAGGAAGGGGGTGAAACTAGAACACCCTCTGCAAAGTGGAGTGGGAATTTTTCTTAACACAAATTAGGTCAGAGACAGAAAAAGGATGAGCTGTTCTAATTTTATAGTAACTAGACTTCTAAAGCACTGTAAGAGCCATTCCCTCCTCTCAAAACAGAGCCAGACACGGAAAACACCTCTAGTAAGGCTTTTACCTTTTCTTTTAAACAATAATAGTACCAAATAGAAGTCTGTGCTTCCTTTACATCATTTTACTTTTATTTTCTAAATGTTCTTTAGTAAATATGCATTATTTTTATAGTAAGAAAATAAAACATAAAAACCAGGAAGAAACCCATGTACAAATGAAGGAAATATTAATAATCAAAAACCATTTTCACCCTCTGTTGCCACATTGGTCAGGTCACTTGATTGTAAAGCCCACAGGAGGACAAGGATTTTTCCTCTTTTACTCACTGCTTTACTCCCAGGCCCTTAAACAAAATATGAGCAAGAAAAAGGAATGAAAATTTAGTGAAAGCACCACCATTCAAATCAGGAATGCACTCACTCCAGGTCTTATTAAAATTATTATTATTGTTTTTTGGGGGCACACCCAGGAATGCACAGGGGTTACTTCTGGCTCTGCACTCAGGAATTACTCCTGGTGGTGCTCGGGGGACCATATGGGATGCTGGGAACTGAACCTGGGTCAGCCGCTTGCAAGGCAAACGCTCTATCTGCTGTGCTATCACTCCAGCCCCTAAAATTATTTTTTTGTTCGTATGTCTATAGCTGCCAGGCTAGCTAAGTAATAAAATGCTCCCACACATACACTCATACAACTGCATCTCCTGAGTCATCCTGATTGAATCAAGCACAACACAGGCTTGATGGAATGAAACTGACATCGACGAGAGTTTTCCTAAGCATAAGTCCTCCCATTTGTGCACTGTATATCCTTTGCTGCTGGAGACACACATTTAGCATTCTGCCTTGCCCTGCCTATCTCACAGTTCCACGGAGCCAGGAGCCAGCTCTCAGGGCTGGAGCAGGCTTAGCATGCTGGTGTGATCCCTCGCACTACTGGGGGTGACTCCTGAGTGCCAGCTGGGTCTCCAAACCAAAACAAAAAAGGACACTCACACACAAAACTCCACCACCAGCCCCTCAAAAACTGAGCCCATTATCACATCCCCTTGGTCTGGGAAGCTACAGGTTTTATAGTATTTCCCACACATGAGAATTTCCCATACAAGGGAATATAATACTATGAGCAGAGAGATAATGGATATGACTTTTAACCATAGGTTTATCTCAAATATTAAGATATCTGGAAAGACCAAAATAACACATTTGAGCAAGCTTTTGATAAAAGGGTCATGCTAATAATTTCCAGCATCCTTTTATTCTTTGGAGCAACACTATCTATTCAGGAGAGCTTTCTGTAGTAAAGGAAAACACGACCTATGCTACTCAAAACTAAGGTGATTCAAGTAAGAAACTGAATCTTACATTTCCTTTGACTGTAATTTTATAAATTTAAATAACCACAGTAAGTTTTTAAAGCCTACCCCACAGGAAAATACAAGTCCAGAGCAAATTGCAACTCGAGGTAATGACAGTGCCAACTTCAAAAGCAGCGAATATCGGAGACACAAATTCACAAGGGTGAATATTTCTAAATGTGGGAGGCTGATCTCTGGCATGACTTGTTAGAGAATGACTTTAGTGACATTCAATTCCCTTCTCAGTACTTAAGGGGAAAGAATAATCTAGGGGGTAGTGGGGAGAGAGGAAAAGGGGGGTCCTCTAAATGGTACTCAGAAGGCCTCAAGACTCTCCCTGGCCTTCTCAGCTGAGAATGAGGTGTTGTCCAGGCCCTGCCCAGGCTGGGGATCACCCAGGCCACTGTCAGTGAGGCTGGGCACCCATGTAGTGCCACAATCAAAGCAGGATTTGCAACACCAAAACAGTACCGTAACCCCTGTACAATCTCTGTTCCCTTTAAGAAAAAGTTTTGTCTTTTATTTTTTGGGTCACACCCAGAGATGCACAGGGGTAAGTCCTGGCTCATGCACTGAGGAATTACTCCTGGTGGTGCTCAGGGGACCATATGGGATGCTGGGAATCAAAACCAGGTTGGCCGAGTATAAGGCAAATGCCCTATCCGATGTGCTATGGCTCCAACCCCACCTTAAAGAAAAAGTTTTAAATAAATTTTAGTTTTGTGGATTGTGGATTCAAAGGATACATAGAAATCTATAGTATCTTCCCCTGCCAAAGATCCAAAAGTCAGGTTTCTCCAAGAAAACAAAGAGTGGTTCAGTTCTGGGCCCATAAATATAAATATGGTTAAGGACCTTAAGAAATGAAGCCTTGGAAACAAAAATTAAATCACAATGAACAAAGAAAGCCTAACTGAAAATTACTGTGGTCCCAGAAACTGGTTCTCCAAGTGCTAATCAGAGATTAACTGAGTTTTACAGAGACCCAATAACAATGCTTACCACAAAAAAAACATCAACTCTTCTTTTCTGGATTCCTTGGTTTCAAAACTTGCATCATACAAAGCATAGCGACAATCCTTTTCAGGAAGCATTCCCACAAAGTGCTTGAAAGGATCAGTTATGGTTACCCCAACATCACCAACCAAGATCTCTTTGCCTTCTTCTACAATGATGCACTTTTTGTCTGCACTAAGACAAAAAATTACAGCCTTCTTTCTCTTCTTGATTTCTTCTGGTGTGGAGCACTTCCGAACTTTCATGTCATAAAAGATGCGACATACTTCGTCAGCAACTTGCACTCCTGAAGCCTACAGTGAGGGGGGCAAAAATCAAGGATTAAATTTGAATCACATCAAGTACATGAGGCATTGCTTTAACACTAAGCCACATTTGCAACCACCAATTCTTATAGAGGCTGTTCAGAATCCTGACACGGGGTAGTAATCCTCTAGTTTGAGTGCTCATACCTAAAATTCCTGTCACAATGCATAAAAGATGATCCAAGAGTGTGGGTTGCATGAATTCTATCCCTATGACGTATGTTTCTCTTGAAAATGAATTGAAAAGGGGGCTGGAGTGATAGTAGAGCAGGTCAGGCACTTGCCGTACATGTAGTCGACCTGGGCTCCACCCCTCTCATCCCATATGGTCCTCTGAGCACTGCCACGGGTTATTCCTGAGCAAACCTGGAGTAAGCCCTGAGCATCGCTGGGTGTGGCCCCAAAACAAAAACCTAACAAAACAGAACAAACAAAAAAACTAAAATGCCTTTGTTCTACTTGCCTTTTAAATTTGTGTGATTAATAGTAACATATTACGATTTTAAATTTAATTCGAAGTTTTCATTTTTCAAAATCAGCATGTTTCAAAATAATGTAAAAACAAAATGTTTAATAAACAGACTACATTAAAAGATATAGTAAGGAGTTTTGTTTGTTTTTGGACTATACCCAGAAATATACTCCTGGCTCTGCACTGAGGAACTACTCCTGGTGGTGCTTGGAAGACCATATGGGATGCTGCGGATCAAACCTGGGTCAGCCACCTGCAAGGCAAATGCCCTACCTGCTATATTATTTCTCCGGTCCTGTGAGGATATATTGTTGCTATAATAAAGAACCTCTGCCATGTTATATGTGCTATTTTAGGAAGAGGAAGCACTTCACTTTACTATATCCATATTTTTCAGTGGCTTCCTTGACTAGTCCGATTTGCAAGCTAGCTTTCTAAAGGAAAACTGGACTGAGAGACAGCACGGCTTTGAGGGACATATGCTTTGCATCTTCCTGACTCTGGCTCAATTCCCCAGTTTGCATGGTCCCCACAGCACCCCCAGTGTAATCCTGGAGGCCCCTGAGCATAGCCATGTGTGGCCTAGTGGCTCCCAAACACCACCAGGGTGAAGAAGTGGTTCCAGCACCACTCGGCCAGAGCAGTACCACATTCTCACGTCCGAGCACTGAGACATCTAGCTCAGGTGGCTGAGTGTCCCCAGAGGGAGACCCTGAGGTCCCCTGAGTACATACTGTATGAGAGCCCTACAAGTTAACAATAGAATAACCATGAATGGAATCTAAAAACTAAACAATGAAAAAATATTGATGCCAAAAATTAATATCAATTAGGTCAAAATTACATGTAAGATGAAAAGTTAATATACACACCAGGAAAAAAATGCTTGCAAATTACCAATAAAGAAGCTGTACCTGGAATACAATAAAAAAAAAACTATAACCTAATCATAAAGGACAAAATCCAATTTTAAATGAGACAAATAATTTAAATAGACATTTCTCCAAGGGAAACAGAGAAATGGCCACAGGCCTTTGGAAAAAAGTGCTCAGCAGTCACTGGGGGAAGTGCGTGTTCATCCCAAGACTGGAGCACAAAGGCGGTACAACACACCTGCCTTCCACGAGTGAGGTCAAGAGCCAATCTCCAGAGCTGTCACATGGGGAAGCAGGGTCCCCTGTGACCCTAGTGTTATGGCTCTGCATGTATGTGCCATCTCTACTGCACCACAACTAAATGTGTGCTGCATACTACAATTCAGAAAGCACCACAACCAACCACAATACATGAAATTACAAAACGGAGGGAGGGTGGAACCTGAATGAGATGCTCCTTTACACTCACCAGAAGAGCTACAGTAAGAGACAATAGTAACAAATGTTGGTGAAGTTGCCGTGAAACTGGTGATGAAGTTGTAAAACTCTACAGCTACTTCAAACAGCCTGGCAGTTCCTCAAGATATCAAATATGAAGTTATTATTCATATGCAGCAATGTTACTCCTTGCTTCAAACAAGAAATGATTTTAAAAATGTCTGTATAAAAACATATAAACCAAATGATGCCCTAGGTTAAGTCCCCAGCAATGCAAAAAATAGGATAAAATAAATACAAGAGTCAGAGAGAGCGCTCAATGGGCTCAGCACATGCTTTGCACGCATCTCTGAATGACATCCCCAGATGTCAAGAACAGCTTACCCTAAGCCCCACTGGGTGAGTTTCCTCGGGAAAAAAAGAAAAAGCAAAAATAAATAATCTATACATTAATTTTCACAGCTACATTATTTAGGAGTCAAGCAGTGCAAAGAACCCTAAAGTTTAATAACAAATATATTTACACATTTGAATATTCAGCCATAAAAAAATGAAGTTACAATATTAATGAATCTTGCAAAATGTTAAGCTAAGGGAAAGGCTATTATTGAATTACTCTTTTATTTTTTTAGTGGTTTTCAAAATGGGTAAATCCATAGACAAGAAGTAGGTTAGTAATTCCAGGTTCTACAGAGGGGAGAGGGAAAGTGGAGGCAGCAGTGGTTTAGAAGCAATGAAATGCTCTGGTATTGGAGAATGATTATAGACGAACAATCCTGTCAATATAAAGAAAACCACTGAATTGTACTTACGGTACATAAAAATTGTATGTAAATAAAGCTGTTACTTAAAACTGCATTTAATGAGTTTTCGGGGTTAAAACACACTAAGATTATAGCATTTACTTAATATTAAAGTAATTGCACCATTTAATTATCATATTAATTAAAAGAGCTTTATTCTGGCTTGGACGGATAGTAAAATGAACTGGAGTTTTATATGGGGGTAGAGGACTAGATTATATCCTGGGCATGCAATGGTTCTCTGAGCACTGCAGGAGTGACCCCTGAGCACCAAATATCCCCTGAACACCGCTGGATGTAACCCCAAAACAAAAGATCTCCAATGAAGAGATGTCACCTACTCTAATCCACATTCATTCAATCCCATTTTAGATAACCCACATTCTGTACATATATGAATACAACTCTTACATTAACAAAATGGTAGGTATAGAAAAGTGAACTAAAAAACTACCTTTAAAATGACACAATCCAAGATATAATTCAGTGATAGAGCACTTGACTTGCATATGTAAAGTCCAGGGTTCAATATCTGGCCCCACCAAAAATCAACCAACCAATAAAAACTTACACTGTCTTATCACTTTCCTGCTTTTAATAACCACTTTTCTTAAGCTCCCTTTAAGAATTATTTTTCTAATTTTTCTGCACTTCTGAGAAGAAAATGTCTGTATTTTCTTCATAATTTACCTATATTAGACAAATTAATATTCTCTGGGGTTCTTAGCAGAAATAAGATATTCAAAATAACAAAAGTTTAATAAAGAACTATTGAGACTCCAATTCCTATGTAACCCAGTAGCCCATAATGTTGATTTGTAAATCACTTGACCAACCAATAAATATTGGAATGTATCTGTAATTATGTAAGTGAAGTATCTCAAATAACACTCTTAAATTCTGATTTGGAAATGAATCATAAAATTAATCATGTGCCAATAAACGAAACCTGAAAGTAAGCATATTTTTCTATGATTATAATGAAACTAAAATGAATCCAAACCTAGCAGTAACATGCAGCTATCCTTTTGGGTTTTGGTTTGGGGGCCACACCTGACAGTGCTCAGGGCTTACTCCTAGCTCTGTATTCAAACATCAGTCCTGCTGGGGCTAAAATAACCATATGGGAGCTGGGGATTAAGCCCAGGCCAGCCACATGCGAGACAAGTGCCCTCTTTCACTCTGGCTCCTATGGAGGTATTTTAAAATATGCTCTTTAGCTGTCTTACACCTGTCCTGCATACCATCCCACAGATCAGCAGTTCTAACTAAGGTGGTAGACCAGTGGTTTTCAACCTTTCTATATTTGGGGAAAAGCACTGGTCAGGTTAAAGATCACTAGCTTGAATGCTTCAGTGAAGAGGAGTCTGTGCTACCTCTTCTATCAGAAATGAGATGTGTGGAGGTTTCTGATAGGGGGAGTACCTTGGGTATCTGTGCTTGAGGAAATGAATACCAAAGACTGTGAAAGAGAAACTGGCAGGACCTTGGAAGCAGGGGACCAATTACAAAGTATAAATATCCAAAAGAGAAGCTCTACAGCAGTGAAATTAAAGACAAAGACAGAGAAAGACAAAAATTAATCCACAGGCAGTTTAAGATACATAAAGGAGTAACAATGATGAATACCAGGATTCCTTGGATAAGTGACGGAAAAACTGTAAATGGGATGACAGCTACAATCTGACATAGCAAGTTTGAAGAATGTGTAAGGCAAAAAATTGAAGTATGGCTCTAACAGGAAGGTTGTGTCAATAGACATTTTGGAGTATAGTCAATACTTAATGTCAACATTAAGTAACAAAAGACAAATAAAAGGGAACTAGAAAGAGATTATTATAAAACTAGTAAGAAAAAGGAAGAAGCTTGCAAACAGAATCACTGAAGACCTCTGAGCATGCTGAGGGTCACTGAAGTCAGCAAAGGCAATAGTAGGTTTGTCAGAAACTGTAGCACTGTAGCACTGTCCTCCTGTTGTTCATCAATTTACTCGAGCAGGCCCAGTAACGTCTCCATTGTGAGACTTGGTACTGTGTTTGGCATATCAAATATGTCACAGGTAGCTTGCCAGGCTTTGCTGTGCGGGCGAGATACTCTCAGTAGCTTGCCGGGCTTTCTGAGAGGGGCGCAGGAATCAAACCTGGGTCGGCCGGGTTGGCCATCTGCAAGGCAAATGCCCTATCTGCTGTGCTATCGCTCCAGCCAGATACTGAAAATGTGAGTCCAAAGGAAGGATTCTGCATTCTTCTAGGAAATTTTATCCAAACCCAAGATTTCAACCATTTAATCTAAATGACTCAGACACTGTTCTGACTCTCATTTCTCTAAGCTCTTAGAGTTTACACTCAATTTCCTATCTGACATCTTCAAGTTGAATGTCTCAATAGGGTCTGCCCCAAA